TAGTTTGTAGACCCATGATTTGTTATTTTATCCATAGTTGACTTGCTGTTCTTTATATGTCTACTCAAGGAGATACCAGTCTTATATGGTATATTAATGTTTTCTTTTATTACTAGCCTTTTTATTTTATCTGATGATTTTTCTGTATATGTGGGTGAATGTTTTGTAAGGTGTTAGTGTTATTTTCTTTGTGAGGGTATATTTGTTTAAGACCTGTTTGAAAAGTTTTTTGTCAAGGATGTGATGAATCATGTTCGGGTTGAAGTTGTTGTTTACTGCAATTTGTTTCATCAAATTTAATTCCTTAATCACATTATCTGCGGACATCGAGATACTGATGAGTCTGTGGGTCATGCTATGGTAAGCTGCTAATTTATGGTGATATAGTGTGTATAATTATTATCATGGATAGTGTTGATAATTGTCATGAATTAACGAATCAGAGTTTTCATAATGTAGTTTTATTGAATTTTGGACCTGGGATAACCACATAAAAAATCTAGCAGAGTAAGGTCTGAAGATCTGGTTGGCCATTCTATTGTTTCGCTTCTACCATTCCATTACTTGTGTGTAAGTGTTTCGTTTCGAATAATCATGCACTAATCTATAATAACGGGGATTTCCATACAGAGCCAATCGGTATTCCAATTATATTATGATTTTTGCCATTTGAATACAAGACAGTAATTCTTGAAACGGTATGCCCTTGAAGCAATTCAGTTTATTTCACCCTTCAATGAAAATAGGGCAGAAAATTGAGACTTCAACTATTGATGGCCATGCGTTTACTTTTTGTGGAGAGTGGGTATTTGCCTCCACTTTTCAAAATGTAAAGTTCAAACTCCATCAATTATAGGTCTTATAGAGCGCATTATTTTTAAGGACTTGGATAAGTCATTCCAATTCGTAAATATTGTGAATTTTTTCATTTTACTTCTGTCAATTTCAAGTAGAAACTACAAGGTGGCACATGTTCTAATTTCATTTGAAATTTTTTCTTTGGAGTATTTCTTATTATAAAAAAGTATTTGTGANTGAAATTAAAGGACAACTCTGACTCAATTTGTCAAATCTTTCAGTCCCACCACTATAGTGATTTTTGTATACTTTGACGATACTTTATTTGGCAATGAAATAAACTAGTCCTCGTTACTGAAACATCCACAGGTTCCCGTTTCTAAGAAGTTGAAATAAATTAACTAAAAAGGCAACAGTAACCCTCAAAAAATTATAGGTATCCAACTTCAGATCTATAATAGTGCGCAGTCTTGATATTGAATGTAGATTCCTCCCCAATTTCTGTATGTAGCAGAAATTGTCTTATTTTTTGTTTTTGGGGACCACCAAAAATATTATTTTTTAAAACTCCATCAATTATAGGTCTTTTACAGCGCATTATTTTTAATATTGTGTATTCGTAACTATTGTGAATTTTTTCATTTTATTTCTGTCAATTTCATGTAGAAACTAAAAGGTGGCACATGTTCTAATTTCATTTGAAACTTTTTTTTTGGAGTATTTCTTATTATAAAAAAGTATTTGTGATTAGAATACACCTTCAAGTGCTTGTGTACAAATGAAAACTCAACAGAAAATTTAATGAGTACTGAAAATATTTAAATTAATGTAACTTATGTAGATGAAATTGTTATATTTCAAGCGAATACTAAAAGGTTTGTACGTTTACTTCTGGCAAAATACCACTCCTTTTTCTATACTGTTTTGGAAAGATCTCAACCACTATGTGTTGGCAAAACTAAAATCGAGTTTGAATAATTACGACATTTTTGTGAATTTTGTAACTTCACGTATAGAAAATTCAAACCAAAAATCACCTGAAGTGGGATTACTGTATATAGTATACTGTGACCAAACTGTCTCAAGACCGTCGGTGTAGTTTCTCACATTAATTTGTGTTTCTTGTGTCCTATAATTCAGAATTTGATATGAAACCAAAATAATACACGGGTAGCACGTCATTGTTATCAGTTACCATACCATTCAAGCGAAGCAATAGCTTAAAGTTGTAAGGACTCCGCTCCATCAGAAACAACAATTAAACGTTCGTTTGTTGACATCAAACGTGGTTGTAGAGACACCGATGATGCAGAATACAGTGGACGTCTAAATGAGGCAGTACCACCAAAAAACATGAAGTCATTTTGAATGATAGAAAAGTGAAGTTGCATGAGTTAGTTGACATTGTAATGATATCAAAAGAACGTGATGGCTTCACATTGCATGAGCATTTGGCTATGACAAAGCTCTGTTCAAAGTGGGTGCCGCGCGAGCTCACTGTTGACCAAAAACAAGAACGTCATGATGCTTCTGAGCAGTGTTTGGCCGTGTTCAAACATGACAAAACGATCGTCATCTGAGTAGAAAGCAACTGGTGAATCTTGTCCAAAGTGCCCGAGAGCACAACAACCGGCTAGAAAGGTTATGGCCTCTGTATTTTGGGATACGCATGGTGTAATAGTCATCGATTATCTTGAAAAGGGAAATACCTTTAACAGTGAATATTATATGCATTATTGGAGCGTTTGCATGCCGAAATTGTGGCAAAACGACCACATTTGAAGAAAAAGTGTCACAAGTCAAGGAAAACGATGGCAAAATTGCATGAAATGGACTTCGAATTGCTCCCGATGAATAAAGCCAATTTTGAACAAAAAAAACTCGTTTCTTTCTTAGGCCCGGGAATTTTCAGCCCAGGTGTTAAACATCATTTCAGTTTGGTAGATTTTCATATCTGATCTCTCTGGAATATTTTTTCATTCTCTCTGGGTAATACTTCTTTATCATCCATTCAATCAACATTTCGAAAATGTACTAGATGACTGCACTGCACTGACTGCCTAACACAAGTATTGTGAGTTGATAATATTTTCCGAAANACAGTCACTATATCAAAAACTCTCAGTTAAAATCTACTTAGTTTCTGGTAAAATAATTTGAAAATTAAATCTTTCATTTTTTTTTACTTTTTTTTACATTTTATGTCTGTATAATTTTCTTTTCAGTTTCAAATTTGTCTAATATTTTTAGGACAAGCAAAATATTAACCTGTTTCTTTCAAAAAGAATTTTTTTCAGTCACATTCAAACACCTATAGGCCACATGTAGAAAATAACCTTGTATACTTGATTATAAATATTAATCAAGTATGACAATTTTAGAAAGTGATACAAATGATGAATGCCATCAGACAACCGCACATGCCAAACACATATGTTACTTCAAATCTATAGGATTCACTTGGTGGGACGCCATGTTGCCAGGAATGAAAACTTTATGTTCAATCTTAAATACATTCAGTGCGAAAATTTCTGTAGGTTTTATTCCCCATAGACATCACAGCACTGGGTCAAATTGTTATTTTATGAAAATTGAGAAATAAAACTTCCTGTTTTTATACCACTTGTATCTGTAACTAACGTTACTGTAGTTTCATCCTATAAGGACATTTTCAAAAGAAAACAGTTTATTGTACGTATAAGGACATTTTCAAAAGAATACAGTTTATTGTATTCGTTTGAAAATGTCCTTATAGGACGAAACTGCCAGTTTTATTTCTCAATTTTCATGATGATCTTCTACCACGTAGTAACAGCTACCATCCATCAATTTACTTCTTTTATTTCTGGTGTTGCACTTCTGATGGTGTTGTATTGGATAGTATTGTCATTATGCTTGTTTTTTTTAGTGTTTCAGTTTTGACTTGTTGAATTTTAAATGAAATTGAAGTTTGTTGCCTATTTTGATTGCAAGGAGTTCAAAATAGACTAAAACTTTGAGATATGTCAGATATTTCCCTCCATACAATCCAACTCGGCTGTGATTTATATACATCTCAGAATTGTCCATTCTGTTATAATCTTCTGTTTTTTCCAAGTATTTTTATGGGACCATATTTAGAATCTTCATTTCTCTACCAATAACCATTTGTTTGCTATCTGGTGAATCCAGAAGGCACTGATTGTTGCTGTTACATATGTATGTAACAGCAGAAGATTCAGTATTAACTCCAAAGTTGCATTTTATATTCCTATGTAGGTTTTAAAATTTAGGGATCCTAGGGATTGCATTTTACTTGTTTAGTTTTAAGAGAAAGGTAATAATGATTTGCTTCCAATTGTCAAAATTGAATATTATAAAATTGTTAGTTGGGCACCATTTAACTTTGAGATGATGAATAAACTTTTCATTTTTTGAAGGCATTCGGCATAGACAACCATTTTCTGCATGAGTGTAAACGTTTTTTATTTGCGAAATATTAAATCAACTCCGTACCATCAATGTTTTTTTCATATAGTCAGTGGGCATACTTGAAGACGGGCTATAAATCAAATCATGTAAAAGAAAAGTTCGTTCAGGCCAGTCTCAATTCCCTACGCTGTAGGTTAATGGACCGACACCTATCAGAACCTACACCTACAGTGTAGGGAGTTGAGACTGGCCTAAACAAATTATTCTTTCAGATGATTGGATTTATCGCCAGTCTTCAAGTGTGCCTACTGACTATATATGAAAAGTTTTCTTTCCTTATATGAGGAGTTGAGCAAATTTCGGATATGCGGTTGGTTACCTCGTCCACAGGCAGATGGGGCGATGACAAACTTTTTGTTTGTTGTCCGTTTCACTTTCTTTTTTGCANTTTTCAATTATCGGAAATCATCGACTTTATGTTGATGATATACACTACCTTGCACTGACGAGTGGCCAAACAGCTCGACACCGGTCTGCAAGTGTGTTCCGATAATTGAAAATCTATTGCGGCAGTTGTATCGCCAACAGCATGTGCAGGAATAACTTCAGTGAAGAATCCTGCACTGACACCTGTCGGATATAACCCAACGCCCTTCGTGATATTAGCCAGGGGAGCCAGGGGAATAGTTGTTTTCTGACAGGTGTCAGTCCATTAACCTACAGTGTAGGGAGTTGAGACTGGCCTGAACGAATTGTTCTTTCAGATGATTTAATATTTTTTTATTTTGCAGGTGATTGACTTTATTTTGATAGAATCAAGAACACAAGAGGAAGACAGAGATGGGGAAGATGAGAGCACTGAAAATGAAGATGGCAGTACCATCAATGGTGACGTGAGTAAAGGAGAACCAGAAGCCCTAATAGTTCTGGCAGAAGAAGAGTTAGTGGCTCTTGACCTCAAAGACGAGAACTGGAAGATGATGAGCTTGCCTTACCTTGTGTCTCTACATGCTTCCGCAGTAACTTGCAGTCAATACGTGTCAGGTATTTGTGGCTGTTTATTAAAATTCCACTTCATTCACCGTTTGTCTAATTTTAGGAATACCAGAAGAACTTTGGGAACAGTTGAAAGATGCTGGGAAAGTTCAGACCAGTCACTTGTATTCTACTCGACGTTGGCCGGTTGACGGAGGCAAACTGTTGTGTTCCAAAGGGCTTGAACCTAAAAGGGAGTTGCTGCTCACTGGTCACGAAGATGGTACTGTCAGATTTTGGGATGCCGGCGGTGTGACTCTCACGCCCATTTACAAATTCAGCTCCGCACAATTCTTCGCTGGTGACGAACCGGAAGGTACTTGTTACTGATATTGGTGTTTTCTGTGAATTTTAAACTTTTTTTTCAGAGGTTCATCCAGATCCTGAAGACTTGGAAGAAGAGTGGCCTCCCTTTCGAAAAACTGGTATTTTTGATCCCTATTCAGATGATCCTCGTCTGGCTGTGAAGAGGGTCAGCCTGTGTCCTTTATCTGGGACTATGGTTGTTGCCGGAACAGCTGGTCAAGTTGTCATCGCAAAATTCGATACTGAAGTTCTCGATGTACCTTTGAAAGTTTCTTCCATGAATATTGTCAGCGACAGAGACGGGTTCGTCTGGAAGGGTCACGGCCAACTAATATATATAGTATAGTATTTGCTGCTGTCAGCAATTTGATGTACTGTCGTCCGGGTTGAACCGCGTCTGTAATTTTCATCTATTCGACGTTTTGGCTTCTGTTTTAAAGCCATTTTCAACAACCACTTGAAATTGAAATTACATGACTCGACGACGGGGTCGTAATCTCTCTGACCTCCAAGTCTCGTTCTTGCTTTGTTCAGATCCAAGTGAACACTGATAACTATGTTGCTCGGGATCAGAGTTTATGCTGCTGGACAGGTATAAAGTAGAGGTAATGTAACAGGTACCGGACTTGCCGGGAATGAATTCTTGACTTTCTGCTTTACGTGAGTTACTTGGAGATGTGTGGCGAGACAATAATGACCTCCACATGGTGAATCTTTGTATTCATGCCACGTGCCAGTGTAGAAGTGTCTGCAGAACGCTGTGTAATGTCAGCTGTCAGTAGTCCCATTGTGATTCGAAAGTGCATATAGGTTACAATGACAAGGAGCCACATTATCTGCTGCATGATTGCTTATATCTAATTCTTCTTCGATGGCAACATTTAATTCACCTCTAAATCGTTCTGTTGGAGAGAATCTTTCAAAATGAATTACTAAAATATGGGAAAACTTATGAATTGATAGGGACTCTGTGCATTTTCTTCTTTCCTTGCAACTCGAACACATCAGTTTTTCATCTTCATTCAGAGTCCCTTCTCTTGTGAGGGAATCCAAGCATTGCGACAAGTTCTTTGTGGTATGGTGAGTGACAAACCCCAGAAAGGATTGAATGTTACTGAAGAGTGTTCACAATGTATGCACTTTATCGTAGATTTTGATTGATTACCGAAATTATCTACAAACTTGGAGTTATATATACAATATCTCGTTAAATACATTATATACATTTCCAATTTATGTTTGAAATGTATTAGTATGATATAAAATTTACTCATTATGAAATATGAATTGTTCAGTTCATTAATAGTGAAAACAACTATAAAAGAATTGAAACTGTAGAAACTTTTCATTAAACCACCCGTAACTGTCGAATGATAGTAAAACATCATCAATTGTTGAATTAAATGTCCGACTAACGTTCATATAGCTTTCTTTATCTCTTCAATATACCAAGTGCTGACAAGAGCTCTCACTAATTATGAAGTTTCTGTAAACTCTCGAAACTGTAATAATCTTCATTTTAATAAATTGGTGGATGTAGCCGTTACTACGTGGTAGGAAATCATGATGAAGAAAAGAGAATTGAAACTTTCTATGTGTTTTACCACTTTTATTTATAACTAACTTTATGCAGTTTCATCCTATAAGGACATTTTCAAACTTATACATCGAACTAACAATGGTTGATTACATTAGTCCTAATATGTATATTCATCCAGACAGTAATAAATTAGCAGCCTACAATTCAATGTTGCACAGAGCATTCTCAATGCCTTTGTCTGCTAACAATCTTGCTAGGGAAATTAATATATTTACACAATAGGTCATAATAATGGTTTCAACGCAGATACTATCCAGAAGTTAGTCTGAAAACAAAACTTACAGATTAATATCCCCTCAGGTCAAACAACCAGAAATCAAGAAACGGACAACTTTTAACATATTTTGGAAAAAGAACAGAGATAATTGCGGGTTTCTTCAGAAAAAACAATGTGGAAGTGTCATTCAGACCGCATGCCAGGTTATCTGATTTTCTTTTCAATGCCAAAGATAAGGTGGACAAGTTGGAGAAATCTGGAGTTTATAAGCTTAAGTGTCCGGACTGTAATAGTGTTTATGTCGGACAATGTGGTCGAAATTTCCAAAAACGGTATGTTGAACATGAAAGGTCCTTCAGACTAGGAAAAAATTATTCGACGTTCTCAAACCATTCCCTGGCATGCAACCACAAGTTCCCGAATCAAAACGATACGGAAATTTTGCACTATGCAAGAATCCTTGGAAATTCACAAGCATAAACATTGCGGGTGCATCCTATTAAATGATCAAATCGATTTAGTTTACTCACCGATTTTCAAATTAGCATATCCGCATTAGTAAACAAAATTTCAGGTACTCAATCAAGCCAAGTACCTCTATTATTACCTACAGGGGTGCTATATAAGGGCTAATGTAATCAACCATCGTTAGTTTAATGTAAAAGTTTGAAAATATCCTTATAGGACAAACCTGCAGTAACGTTAGTCACTGCAGTTGTTCATAAAGTTCAATCTCTAAGGTAATGGAGGATAAGAAAGCTCATGATACTTATTCTCCAATAGCCGCTTATGGTGTCTTTCATGTAATTGTATTTTGAAAATAACTTTATCATCTTTGTGCTATTCAATTTAAGGTGGTTAAAAATACACATCTCTAGAAAACACTATTCACTTTTAGAAATCCTGATATTTTTGACTTGTTTTTATGACACCAGCAAACGTTTAGATACATCAGACCTTTCAAAATATGTATAGTTCTGTCACTTTATATGTTGAAAAAATATTATCTGATGATAAAAATGATATACATAACTACTATACAAGAAACAGTAAGCAATTATACCACCCACACTCACGATTAGGCATGGGTGAAGATTCCCAAGTATACTAATAGGTATTGGGTAAGGAGCATTGCCGGCCCTCTTTTGCTCGTCATTCACTTGAACGACGTATGTAATCTAAACCTAAACCAACATCAGTTCAAAACTATTTTTGCAGATGACACAAGTCTGTTATCAGGTGGTGAAACCTTCCCTGAGATGATGGTAATTAGTACAGATCTGTTCAACAAGACTAAGGATCGGTTCAATAATAATAAACTTGTACTAAATTAATCGAAGACACATATGATTTTGTTTAGAACAAACCAAGACAACATTGATTATCCAGTTAGGGTGGACCTTCAAAACTCTTCTTTTGAACTGTCCCACAACACCAAATTTTTAGGAATCCACATAGACGAGAACATGAATTGGTCTTTTCATATTGATAACCTCGCAAACGAACTCAGTGTAATATCATATAGAATTAGAGTTATATCAAAATATCTATCTGCACAAAGAGTCTACAAAAACAATTTACATAAATAACTAACTTCGAATCGGTTGCTCAATACAGAATTATTTTTTGGGGTAGCAATCGAAATTCGAAAAGATCTTCATAGTTCAAAAAAGATTAATAAGAGGAATCAACAACTTAAATTATAACAAAACTTGCAGAACAGTATTTAAATCCACTAATATAATGACAATCTACGCGATTTATATCTATGAATGCCTAATGTTCATTTATAAAACACACCTCTTCACTGAGAATATACCTACTCATAAGTATCCCCCTAGAATATCCTTTATTCGTCATAAAAAAATACAATAGTATTATAAGGTTTTGATAGATAATTACAGAATGAAATATAGACAAGCCCTNTTCTTGTAATTTTTGTAATTCTACTAATTCTATTAATTCTATTTTTAAAATTGTGATTTTCGTATATTATTGTTGCATTGTATTTCTTTTTTTTGTATTTGTCTAATGTTGTATATATACACCGTTGATTTAATTGGGATATATATGTATATTAGGGTTACCTATTTTTAAATAAAGATCTATCTACCCACACTCACAATTAAGCATGGGTGAAGATTCCCAAGTATACTAAAAGGTGTGCTTGGGTAAGGAGCATTGCCAGCCCTCGTTTGTTCATCATTTAATTGAGCGACTTATGTAATCTAAACCTGAACCAACATCAGTTCAAAACCATTTTTGCAGATGACACAAGTCTGTTATCAGGTGGTGAAACCTTCCCAGAGATGATGGTAATTAGTACAGATCTGTTCAACAAGACTAAGGACCGGTTCAATAAAAATAAACTTGGTACTAAATTAATCGAAGACACATATTATTTTGTTTAGAACAAACCAAGACATCATTGATTATCCAGTTAGGGTGGACCGTCGAACTCATTCTTTGAACTGTCCCACAACACCAAATTTTTAGGAATCCACATCAATGACAACATGAATTGGTCTTCTCATATTGATAACTTCGGAAACGAACTCTGCACAAAGAGTCTACAAAAACAATATACATAGCTAACTTCGAATCGGTTGCTCGATACAGAATTATTTTTTGGGGTAGCAATCGGAATATCGAAAAGATCTTCATAGTTCAAAAACGAATAATAAGAGGAATCAACAACTTAAATTATAACAAAACTTGCAGAACAGTATTTAGATCCACTAATATAATGATGGTCTACGCGTTTTTTTTTTTTATTACTAGTTAACGAGAGAATGGCGAACTTTCTGTTGAATTTTAAGATTCTTACTGACTGCCAGCACGGTTTTGTAAAGGCAAGTCCACACAGTCAGCTGCCTGTAGTTTTGCTGAAATCATCTATAACTCCCTAGACAATGGTATGCACGTGGCAGGAATATTTTTTGACCTCTCACGTGCATTTCACTGTCTATCTTATGACTTTATTGAAACCAAACTTTTCAATCTAGGATTTAGTGGTGTATTTTTGCAATGGCTCAAACATTTTCTTTCAGACTATACAATGTGTAATGTCATTTAAAAGAGAAGTTAAAAATTTGCTCCTGTCTAGGCTTATTACAGTGTCAGTGAATTCCTTTTAGACGACTTTAGCTGATTGCGGTCCAGACTTTCATCCAGATTTTATTATACATCCAATTTTGACTAATCTTGTCTATGAGATAATTCTGATCGACAAACGTCGACTTTTAACACTTTATGAAAAGAGAAATGAAAATTTCTATGTTTTTTACCACTTTCAATAAATAATAAAAGTGGTAAAAAACATAAAAATTTTCATTTCTCTTTTCATTATGATCTCCTACCACGTAGTAACGGCTACAGCCATCAATTTATTTTAACACTTTAATTTTTTTTCTAGGTGCTAGAGTGAGACGAATGGCTTTTGCAAATTTCACCTGTAATATAGAAAATACAAATCATTCCGAAGTAGATTTGTTGTGCCTAACAAACACTGGCGATTGCCTAGTTCTAACCATTCCAGACTTGAAACGGCAACTTAATGCAGCAGCGATCAAACGTGAAGATATAAAGTGAGAAAAAATATTTTTTTAATGGATAAAAACTATTGAAATGTTTTATTTTCAGCGGCATATCTTCTTTGGTATTCACAAAAGAAGCACAGGCTTTGTACCTCCACTCCTCATCAGAATTGCAACGGTTATCTTTGGCAGCTAATAGTATAACGATGGCTCGCTGTTATTTGCCATTACAGGTTGGCACCAGAGACGATGGTACTTCCGAAGAAGGTACCATCGATCAGTCGAACGAAGTATTAGAAAACTCTGTAGAAACCCCTTTAGTTAATGGTAATGCCGAGAGTAAAGAAGGAAGTGTAGCTGATAAGGTACATTTTAATAATTTTATAATGAAAGTATTTATTGTGTCATAAAATATAAAAATTTGCACAAAAGGACCGAGTATATTAAAAATGATATCAACCAAGCCCAAAAACAGATTTAAAACATTGATAAAAACACACTGACAGGATTAAAATTGGCTAAAATTTATTGAATTCAGTTACCAATTCAGGATAGCCTTTTTAAGATAAATTACGATAATTTTGAGGGCATATTATTCAGCAGATAAGGTACTAACTAAGAAAAGCATGTCTCGAAAAACAAATAATGGGAAATAACTCACAGAACAAATTATTATATTAGTAAATTTATTAAAAACAATAAAGATAAAACCCCAGTGTTGGATAAATCGGGAGTATACAAGTTGACTTGTGGTTCTTGTTCAAAATTTTATATCAGACAAGCCGGTAGAACTTTTTACAAAAAAATAAAAGAGCATAGTAGTAGTTTTTTGAACAGGAAAACCAATTCAACAGTTGCGAACCATCTTCTGGCAGTGGGGAATGAGTTCAATCACAAGATCATTGTATTCATTATTCTCCAGTCTCATGAATGGTTCCTAGATAGGTAAATAGTTTAGGTGATGAATTTATCATGTAGAAATTTGGCAGGTAGTGATAGTCGTAATGTGTCAAATTACTATAAAAGCACCACACAGAATTTGTACAATCAGTATTGAGACGCCTGAAGATACTGTCGTATAGCGAAACATGTGTTGCGGTTTTGTAAATTGTCTGGTGGAAATCTCACAATAAAGTGTTACTAGATTGAGTTATGGATTTTCATCAAGTATAGGCCAATTCCATAACAAATTTCAGACAGTTTTCACTTTCTCTATGGCAGTTCTCAAAGACGTGTCGAGCCACAGTNTGTTAGATCGAATCCTGATGAGACTCTTCACAATGTAACTGTTTCCAGCAGTGTTGGAGACATTACCATAGACAGTGTTAAAGATCATTTGGGTTCAGGTGAGGAAATAAACAGACGAATATCGGGCTTATGTGTTACAAAAACCGTTACAACAATCATAAGTAGTAGTCAAGAAGGTGTTGTCACGTCATCCAGTACCACGTCTACCACCATGACCAACCAGGAGAATAGTGAGTTTGCTTCTGTCTTTTGAGTTTGCCTATTTGTGTTTTCAGTTTGCTTATTTGTGTTTTAAAACAGTTGATAATTTTCTTATAATAGTACTAAAATTGATGTGTGACATTTGGATGTGAAGATCCGAAGCTGTAACCAGTTTGTTTCTGTATTCACTTTTTGTGTAAGGATATTAAGATCTCCGACAGAGCCTGCGGAACCCCTGTGACCCTTTTACAGGACCCCAGGGTTCCGCAGACCACCATTTAGGAATCTAGGATTCAGACCACAATTTTATGATATTTGATGTAATCTATTGTAGCCGTAGACATACCCTTCACCACCTAATAGTAAAATTATTGCAAAATATGTCAATTTGAATTTCACATCTAATATATATAAATTACATGTCACGTTGTTTGTCCTTGATGTACTCCTAAACCACTCAACCGATTTTAATCGAATTTGCACACTGTGTGCAGTTTGATTCAACTTGCTCACATCTTAATTTATAGTCACAATATTATTTCATTGCAAATTATTTGTCTATTATTTGACTTTCACAATTATCTCTCCAAACCATCTTAATTTATAGTCACAATGTTACTTCATTGCAAATTATTTGTCTATTATTTGACATTCATAATTATCTGTTAACTCCAAACGATTTTAACAGATGGCGATATCTGTTGACTGGATTGAGTGAGTGAGTAATAGATGGCGCTGCTATGTTGAACCTTCAAACGTGTCATACAAGCTACAATTCAATAGCATAACCACCACGTGTTGTTGAGGCTGAAGTATAAGTTAAATTTATTTTGTAGTAAATGAAATACTGCGAAATTCAATTGTTATACCTGGAATGCCACCACATAATCTTCGATTAAAGATTGGTTCCCCTATTATTCTCTTATGCAATTTGAATCCACCTGAACAGTACGCGTTTGATCATCAAAAAGATCACCGGAAATATTCTTGAAGCAACCATTTTAACTGGGAAGTTTAAAGGAAAAGTGGTCATATTGCCACGTATTCCAATGATACCGTTAGATTCTACCAAACCCTTCAGAAGGCTAAAGTTTTCAATTCGTTTAGCTTTTGCCATGTCTATAAATAAGTCTCAAGTCCAATATGTCCAGTATTATATCTACTTGAAGTTTTTATCCAATGAACAAACTTTTGTGACTTGCTACAAATATGCAACTGTATATAAAGTGGTTAAATAAAGTACTTACTTACTTACTTTAACCCAAAAATATTGTGCACCGATTAGTGCTAAATTAAATTGAAATTAAAAGTATTTATAATTCAAAATAATGAATATTATATTTAATCAATCGTGTTCAAAGTCCTTCTTCTTCAAATCCCAATCCAGTGGATTTTTATACCAGTTTTAACGTTTCCGTCTTCATTCGTAAATAATAATTTCGTTTTACTAAGGGGTTACAATAGTAGAAAATCTGTGTCATGAAGGGCGCCATATTATTTTACAAATGGCATCTATGTAAAAAACATGGTGGTCTCCTTGACTGATGTTCTCCTACTTTTGCTCTTAAATAGTTTACAATGTAATATAACAAAAACCTTGGCCACAGCAATGCATGGTCGGGTCTCCTAGTAGTTTATAACTTTTCAACTGTTCAAATTACTCAATGTCTTGTTTAATTTCAGTATGGATTGATGGACCAATTCACATTCTCAGTGCATTTGTAGAATAAATAAAGTACTCATTGATTGATGCCTAATAAGTCCATTGATTATGTCAAACTTCTATAAAAATCTTGTAATTGTTTCTGGTTTCTAAAGATTTCAGATTTTACATATAAAAGGTTCCAGTTGAGCCACTGAAAAAAAGTTTCATAATTAATATGTACAAGGTCTGTTCAAAAAATACGGTGAACGTTATTTGGGCTACGTACATTTGATTAGCGATTTTTTATATATTTTTTTTTATTCTGGTATACTTGAACATATGTTCATAGTTTATTTAGCATGTTTAGTTTGTAAGTGAGAGGCAAAAAAGTTGAAAGTGTTTTGCTTGTTCGGCGATTTTCTGCTATCGAAAAATATGGCTCAGAGAATTTGCATCAAAAGTGGTACACACTTTTCACAGAAGGTTGAGAAAATATGAATGAACACGCTCGCTCTGGATGCCCCAGCATATCAACAACCGATAAAAAGTTGAGAAAATGAAGAAAATTGTTATGGAAAATCGTCGAATCACTATTAGAGAAGTTGCTGAGGATGTCGGCATATCGGTTGGCTCATTAGTCCAATCAACAAGTTCAAAATAGTTCAAATAAGAATTAGATTTGTGATGTTTGCGTTTTCACTTGCTTTAAATGTGTTTTGTTTTTGTTGTTGCTTTGTAGTCATAGAAAGTCTGGAGGACGCGTCAGGAGAAAAATTAGAGGTTAGCTATCTTCAGAATCTTTGATTGGTAATGCTTTGGTAGGTTAAGGTGGGAACTAACATATCTAAGTAACGAGGTGATGGTATTATAAAAACAATACATTTCATGATAGAAGTTATTTTATTCTGAAATACTTCATTTTAAACTACCCCTTCAAAATTAATAATAATCCTCTTCGAATTATACTCAGAACTGAGTCAAACAGTTTATATAATGCAATTATAGAAGTGATTGAGAACCGATATTCGGAAATGTATCCTTAATTGGCTCTATGACGCTTTGAGAAAGTTAAGTGCAAAAATGTGTTATCAAGCTTTAGTGCATTTCATTGCAAAAACTTGTATATATTTCTCTACCTAACAACAAAAGAATAATTCTTCAAAATATCGTAAACGATGATGTTGATTGTTTTTTTTATAATTTGAAATGCTGAAATTATTTCTGTATTTTGAACAATTGCTATAGTGTTATTATGTCCATAAAATTGAAATATTTCTGCACATAACTGTTTTAAAGCATTATTGGACTACTGCCATAAGGAAACATTTTCGAAGAGAGGTTCTTATAACCCCTGAAAATTTTTTATAGTTCTGAAACAGCCTGCATAGTGAGTTATTTTAGTATAAATAGTCCAGAACATTTTCAGGTAAGTAGTTATCTGATACTTCTATTTCTATAGTCTTCATTCAGGCAGTACATATACTTCCTGTAATTTTGGTGAAATAGAAAGTTACCAAAAAATTAAGTGAAGATGACGATTCCTCTTTCAAAGATGTCATCTGTGGGATCTAGGGAGAGTAGTCGTCGCCACTTCTTGTCCCTCGCTAAGGACAAAACCGTTCATTCCTAATCAAATGCATCTTAGTAAATGGTGTTGGCACTTTTGTAAAATCTCTGGATATATCTAGTGTCTAAAATGCATAATTGGGGTATTTATTTTTACCAATAAACTGGCTATTTGGTTGTATTCAACTAAAACAACATTGAAATTGATGGTGAAAGGTTCATTTAATAAAGATAGTTTTTACCATATGCAGATCATCCCAGAAGTGGATGTCCTAATGGAAAGAGGTGTCAGAGATCATTTCTCATTATTTGTTGGAAAATATTATTTTAATTTTTTTTTACAAACTGACGAATTTGAGCGGCTGCAATCTAAATTGTATGTTTCTTGGGAAATCAATATATTCAGCGTTTCTGATAAACTTACTGAGTCTGTTTTGATCTTTATGTATTTTTTAAATTTTTGAGTAAAGAGTTTTTTATGGAGTCGAAAGTGAATATCTTCTTTTTACTGAAGACATTGTTATTCATGGAAAGCTATACTCGTTAGGCTTTCATTTTTACACAAAAATTTGGTCAATTTTTTTTTATTATTGATATGTGTGATACTGTCAGTCATTTCACGAAACACACAGGAACTGCAATAACTTTTGTACAAATCACAATTAAAATAGCTAATAGATCTTCTCCCATTTGGACATTGAATCTTTTGACACTCATAAATTCAGTTTTATAAGAAAACGCAAGGAAGTTGTGAAAGATTGAAAATAATTTATATCTTATACAGTGTGACCGATCAAAATATATATTTTAATCAATTGGATTTTATTTTCATTAGATATACATTCTAAAAGTGTAATATTTATAACACCAAATTCCATTACAGTGTCTTTTTTCAGATCCAACATTTATTATTTTTCAATGTTGAAATCGAAAAAAATTGATAACTTTTTTTTCAGTCTGATCACAACACCGGACTCAGCAGATTTTGGGTTTTCACTGTCCAGAATTTCAGTGATATCTATTCTTCGTTGAAAATAATATATGAGTCATGTAGTTAGAATTTTCCAAATGTTTTCTATACATATTTTTCAAACTCTCTTAACTTATAACTTTTTTGATGATTTTTTCTATAATATTCTGGACATTGATAAACCAAAACCTGCTGAATCCAGTGGAGTAGTCAGAATGTTGATGAAAGTTCTTAAAATGAATTGGTGGGATGATTGAATGATATATTTTTCAAATTTTTTCCCTTATAACTTTTTTGATGATGAATGAATTTTTATGTAATTTTAATATTCTTGTCATTTATACCAGTTTAATACCAATTATCTCTTCACAGATTAAAGAAATACAAGTGAGCGATATATTACTGCGAGCCCCACTAGCATCGGCTGAGGAGGAGTCCTGAGGCTTCCTATGGTCAACTAAAACGGTTAACAACATGCCATATCGACATGATCAGTATTTCGGGTTGACATACTAGATTTTATGATTGCGATTACTAGTTTTAGTACAAAATATTTTAAAGTATAATTTTATTATTAGGTGTTGTTGTCCATCGTTTTTCAAAAGTATTGTTTGTGTACTTATTTTAGGTATAAGACATATTGGGACCATTTTCATTTCTAAATTCATCAATGTTGATACGAAATGCTGTTCAAGTTTTAATAATTAGATTAATCTACTGTAATAAACTTTTTATATTTATGTCATCATATCATTACTGTCTATCAATATGGTTGAATCATTTTGAGTTCAATAAGTCGAACAAATCTTGACTGATTCTTGAATACCATCTGTTTTGTGAATAGTCGAATTTCCAGTTTTTCCTAATGTTGAGTACCAATGCTTTGGTAAGAATTCATCCTGGATTATTTTCCACAGTTGCTCTGTTTTAGAAAAGAGTTGTGAGCATATTAAATATTTATGATTTGTTATATTTATGCATATTTCTTTAACAAACTGTGGTTAGAAGATAGCAGCTTTTTCTACAAAATATGGTGGAGGTTTTTGGATGAATGTGTGTATGAAGTTTCTACTAACAGAAAACTTATTGCCTTAAAATTTTTGTTATATTTTATATTCATATTGTATTCACATTTTATTAAAGTTTATATTTATGATCATTTCACAGTGCAGAGAACATCACTAAAGTGAATAAATTTTTTTATCTTGAAATCCAGAGTTTCATTTCTAATTTTCCGAAAATTGAATATTTTTAAAGTGGTTAGTAGCTACATAAATTGAAAACCTCTACTACTTAAGAGAATTACACTAAAATTAATTTTTATGAGAGATGATCGATATCGTACAATTGAATCTTAGGTTCTCAGTGGTGAAAGTGGTTTTCTCAAGTTTTTTTTTTTCTTGACATTATTTCAGTCCACTCAAAGTATCCTTTATTGTTGAATAATCATTCTAACTGATGAATACCGAATGCATATACAGTATCTTCAAGATATGAGTCCTTATCATGGGAATTTCGGAAATCATAAAGAGATAGATGACTAGAATTTGAGAAAAATTGAGCAATTTAAAGGTTATAAACATGTTGAGAATACCACAAAAACTTTGCAGTCACATAACTGCATTCCTGACTTTTATTTCCCGATATGTGGAGAAGTATGGAACTGGAGTCGTGGCCCCTACAAGTAGACTTCAAGAATGGGGTGTAGGTTCTAGAAACAGAAATCCTGGTCCAACTTCTACATCTACGTATCCCATGAAACGGCTTAAACCATTGGAGAGAGCAGAATTTGATCCCCGACCAATAACTTACACAAGAGTGGTTGATTTGAATAGTTTTATAGTGGACTTACAAAAGGGTGAAAGAATGACTATGTTTCAAATTATTTTCAAACTACAATATGATGATTTTCAGTTCAGCAATCAGAATTACACATTTGTTCTCTACAAACAAAACAGTTTCTGGATAACATGAAAGCATTGTTGAATAACTTTTCAAATAAAATTCTGGAGATTTCTGGAACTGTTCAAGGTTCAGAGGACTGGTATAGATGGAGAACCTACTTTATAAAATCTTGAATGCAAAATTATTTTGAAATTAAATTGAATCCAAGTAAAAAATATCACAGCTACATATGATTTACTTAAATTACAAAAATATTACATTTCTACTAGAGTAAATCCTCTTCTCAATCTAACAAGCGTTTATTTATCTTTATCAGATATTTTTGAAGTAACCGTATTACATTCAATATTGTGTTTTCTCTTGTATTTATTCCTGTGTGAATATTTCAAACTGCCATAATTCTAGCCCAAAAAAATACTTGAATTCCTCCGAGGTTTTCTTCAAATTTTCAAAAGCAAATTTATTTTTATTCAGAAATATGTCTCCAACGGATTGTTCACCATCATCTGTAGAAACTTCACTTTTTTATTGTTTGACACTTTCACTTGGTAAATAATCACAACGATTATCTTCTATATTTCCATTATCACCAATATAATCGTGATCATGTAGATGATAGTTATGCATATGATCACTATCTTGAACTACTTCATCTTCATTAGTTGCTACCAGAAGTGTCATCACTAGTATCATTTGGTGGACAAACGAGTCAACTCTCAGAATGTACCATAGATTATGAGTTATCTGAATGTCCACTGATGCCCACTTCTTCATTTTCAGCAACTTCAATTGGCTCTATACAAAAAGGGGAAGGATCTGAAAACTCTCTAAAACAAAATGCTTGCTACAGACGAAAGTGTTTCTGTTAATCTTGTCGATGGTCAGTTTTTTGTTTCCACAAAGTTCAATCCAGCGCAGACACTTCACAAGGTTCCTCTTTGGTTTAGGAAACAGATAATATTTAATTTTCTGGAATTTATACGCCGTGAGTTACTTATGGTATGTGGTTGATGTTGAAAGTTGAAATAGGTTGGCTCTGATTGATGATCAAAATTTAGTGGTTGAAACTTACTCAGAAA